CTTGAATGCACAAAACAAATGCCTAACCTAATACTCGTATTTATGCATTTGAATTATAATCCATTTGGTTATTATCTCATTTTCATTCTTCAAATTATTTTCGATTCTAAATGGAGCCCTAGGCGTCTTCCAATATCAATTTGCAAGCAAATAATTATAAGTTAAGTGTGCAGAGATGAGGATGCTCAGGTTGGATGAGTGCTTTACCCCTAGAGATAGATACGAAATGAGCATATACGTGAAAAGTTGGGAGTAGCTCCAGTAGAAGATAAGATTAGGAGAGTCGCCTTAGATGGTTTGGTCACAAAAAACGCGCCTTCGAGACCCGGTTAGGAGAGTAGAGGTATTAAACTTTGACTTATGTTAAGAAAGGTAGAGGAGACCTTAGACTTGGTTAGAAAATATTAGGAATGACCTTTCTTGTATTAGATTTAACGAGAATTTGACCTTATAGGACACAATGGAGGAAAAAGATTCATGTAGGACCCCACGTAGTGGATAAAGGCTTGATTGTGTTTTGTCATTTCTTAAAAAAAAAAACAAAGAGGTACACAACAAAATTCCAATCCAAGCTTGTAATATTTATGAAAGCCATATGGAAAAATTATTTTGAATTTTCGACCTTTTAATAAATCGAGTATATGATCTTCTAAATATCAATATCTAGCAATTCATTTACTTCGCATAAAATGGCATAATATCCATAGCCTACCAAATTCCTATATATTATAAATATATATATATATAATATAATTTATATATTATATATAAATGGCCTAAAGAAATTGGGGATGTTGATTCTTAGTTATATGAGCTTTTTAAGTGCATGAGAAGAGGGAATCCCTTATTCATGATGTAAGCCTTATTTATATTAGAATTTTTTTTGAGTTGTCAAGGTCGGCTGTAGAATTTAAATTTCAATGAAAAAATCAAAAGAAATAAAAAGAGATGAAATTTGCAATGAATCCTTAAGTTATAATATTGAATCTTCCAAACATTCTATGCAATTATCAAAAGCATTTTTATTTGATTGCTTAAAAAGCACAAAGATGGTGAATGGTTCAAGCCATCGAAGGGTTTGAAGTATCTGAGAACCACAAAACTCAACAGTACTTTTCATATGTCTTGTTTCCAAAATTGGATAAAAAAATCTTAATAATGTATGGAAATAGTTTGAATTAGTTACTAAATAATAAATGTCGCCCATAATCATAATAATTTAAGAGAAATAAGAGAACCTAAAATAAAAAAATGGCACAGACAATAAATAAATGGATGTCCAATAATGTCTCAAAGCTATAAATAAGTATCTAACATCTTGATTCCTAATAAATCTATAACATACACAGATGATGAGTGAAAGTTATCACTCATATGTATTATAACCACACAGATAAGGTGAAGTTATGCATTTAGTTGCATCTGGTTATATACGAGATCACTCAATACTAATAGGCCCTTAATATATTTCAAATTTTTGTTGAATCTCTATGAATATCTTGATTTTCATAATGTTGGCTCGAAAGCTACGATCACTTTGATGTATTTTAGTTGGATAATTAATAAGCCCAAGTGTATTTATTTTTATTACCATAATACCCCATTTGGAAATCTAAACTGGATACCATCCATTATTAGATTCAAACTTGAACTATAAAATAGTATTTCTTTCTTTAATATAGATGAAATACTGAGCCCAGTCAAAATAATTAAAAGAATAAATTAATTTACTCATCTATCCTCACAAAGATCTCTGCTAAGAACACCCATAAAAAGAGCATAATTCTGTGTGAAATTTCCAAGAAAATACATCTAATAATGAAACATGATAAAATATGAAATTCGCCATAGCAAAAATTACTACTAAAATTGGAAATTAGCAAAATGTAAAATAAATGCTAGAATTCATAATCAAGGTGTTAAAACTATACCGGCAATGAATCGGAAAAAATGAGAGGTTATGCGTTCAATTTGTCTTGAACGGTGATGCAATAAATATAATATTATTTATAAATAATATTTTAATATAAATAAAGTTACATATTAAGTGATATATTTATATAATTATTGCTAATTTATGTTAAAATATTTTAATAAATTTATACCATATAAATTTATATAACTAATTAATACTTTTAATTTTAAATTTAAATATTTTCTAAATGAAATAATAATGGTATAATTATCATGCAAAAATATAAACTTATTACTCTAAAACAAAAAAAAAGTTTCTATAATTTTAAATTTAAACCAATTTTTTATAAATTATATTCACATTTATATAAATTTAATTCACATATAAATTATAAATTAATAAAATTATTAGTATTTATGTTATATAACTTATATATATCTATATATATATATATATATATATATATATATATATATATATATATAATTTTATGTATTTCAAATTTATTTGAGTATTGTATACAAAAATTTTTAAAAAAATCCTCTTGAAAGTAATGTACTATGCACACACATGACACAACTAGTTGTTTAGTCTCATCACTTGGGAGTCTTTTCTTATGTTGCTTTTATAGCTTTCCTTCTTTACATGAGTAAAAAGTCCACATTGGGAGATGGAACCATGTGGGTATAATTAATTAATGCTTATTATATAATTTTTGAAGTTTATTAACTAATATATTATATTTAAATTCATTTAATATTTAATAAAATATTTATGTTAAATTAAAGTATTTTTATGCATTGAACCGGTTCTTAAAAATTGGGTCTGGTTCACCGGTTGAACCGGCGGTTCAAATCGGTTTCCACCAGTTTGATATTGGGTCGATTTTTAATGAGGACTGAACCGGCCACATGCCCGGTTCACGATTGATCCGGTCGAATCAGCAGGTCCGATTCAGTTTTCTAAACCATGATTATAATAATGATTATTATTTTTGTGAAAAATAATGGTAGCAATAAAAAATAGTGACATTGTGGGTTAGCAAAGGGCTTTCACAAACTAAAAATTAATGGAGAAAATGATCCCAAAATCTCAACTCTTAAGAAATTTTATTACATATTCATAGCAATAATTACTTCAATAATCAAAATCTACTTTCAAGTTAATTACATCTTAAAGTCTTTCATTCAATCAAAATATTAATTATAACTAGCACATGTGATGATCTCTCATATCTATCATGGAACTTTATAGGTAGGTCATCATGTACAATTCCAAGTTATAAATTTGGAGAAGGTTGTCAACTATCGGTTTCAAACCTACTTGTGCATACTTGAATACTATGCTTGTTCATGATGATTTGGTTGTTGTGATAGTATTATGATTAATAATTTTTACATAAACACCTATGATGCACCGTCACTTCTCCTCAAAGAGGCGTGCAGTGTCCGATATGACACTCGCCCGACACTCATCCGACACGTGTCGGACACGCCGAAAACGTGTCCAATTAAAAATATTAAATACATATTGGACACGTGTTTCTTAAATATTTTATGAATTTTTTTAAATAGAATTTCTTGTATTTGGCGGGATTTAAAATAAGTTTCTTATTTCATATCCACAAAACCAAATCAACGTCCGAACTTAATACTCAATCATCGAATATTCTCATTTTCATTTCTTTTTGGTAGTGAAGGTATTTTCATCTCCTCTCTCGGTGACTGATAAACGGCATTGACGTCTAACTCTCGACATCCTAATACTAATCATTTTAAGCACAAATTCTAATTAAATGACTTATTATTTTTAAAATTATACTTATTTAATTTTTATATACTATTTTTTAAATATAAAAACTTAAATAACGTCTCCAATCCGTGTCTATGTCCTATATTCTCAATAACTGACATATCCCGTGTCCGTGTCGTATCCGTGTCGCCGTGTCCGTGTTTGTGCATCATAGGCAAACACAAATCTAGTTCTAGAGTTAAAATTAATAAGTTAGTAAAGCCTTAATCATCCATAAGTTTAAATTTAATCAAGTGATTCGATGGAACTCCAAAATTTTTCACTGTTTTAAAATCAAGGCAATGGAATGAAAGAGGTCAAGGGTCTTTTCCATTGTGACGTAGTGACAAATCTCTCATTTTTATCTTATTTTTTTTGCTGCTCTGTATAACATATCAGAAAATAATAACAATGCAGTACATATACGTCTTCAATAAAAACTTTAATTAACAACTACACCTTAAGAGTTTGTCGAAATTAATTTATTATATTTTAAACATAGAAATATGGTTGAATCAATGGTCAATATTTTTTAGCATTAAATGTAGAGCAAATAATCAACTTATGCATTTAAGAATAACCTAGGTTATCCAAACTTCTATAGATTGGCTTTATTTGTGTCCTGCAAGGGCTTCTGCATCAGCTATCTTTATAACATTAATGAATTTTTTACTTATGAAATGTCATTTATTTAACTTTTAATGCAATGACATTTGGATATGGATTAAATTACAAGTAAAGGATCATTTTATCATTAACACCATTAACCTTATCGCAACTATTTGTGAGCCCTTCCATTCTCTCTCCTATTAGAAAATTAAGCTAAATTCTCGTATCTCTCTTAATTCATTAAAATCAAGAAGTTAGGTTTATAAGTTTTAATCCTTGTAAATGAATCCATTTAAAGGATTTACATAAAATCTCTTATTTTGTTCATTAAAATTTCACAATATGCTCAAATTTTTTCCATAAGACTTTAATTAGTCAATTGGCAATTGCAGATATTTGGGGAGTTAGATAGATTTCTATATTATGGTTAGATAAGCTAAACATTTATTATTGCATTATAGTTATCTCGTCCAATTAGAATGTTATCAAAACAATCATAGAATAGAACTTCAAAAAGAAACTTGATTACATTATGTAGTGTGATAAAATGAATGAAGAGTATGATTATTTACTTCTAAATGAATTCATATAAAAATGCTATTGTAGTGAAAGTCAAATTAATGATGTCATTGTTTAAAATAAAATGATTGTTTATTAATAAGTGAAATTTATTGATGCTATACAGATGGTTGATGCAGCTACCCTCGCTGGACACAAATGAAGTTGATTTGACGAAGAAAAAAAAATGTAGTTCATTTTCAAATGCGTAAGTTGGTTATTTGTTCTCTATTTAATGTTGAAAAAGGTTGACCAGTGACTAAATTATGTTAAGCATTTTTAATATATAATAAATTAATTTCCTTAACTCTTAAGGTGAAAGTGTTAGTCCAACTGTTCATTAAAGTTGTAGATGCCATGCATTGTTATCAAATTCTAATACGGTATGAAGAGGGACAAAAAAAGGAAAAAAAAAAGAGAGGAAAATGTGATGTGTGCATTGCACCACAATGCAAAAGACTCTCTCTTCATTTTAATGTTTAATTGAAAAATAGTTAAAGAAATTGGAGATTTCCTACGATTACTTGATTAAATTTGAAATTATGGATGAATATGATCATAGTGGCTTGTTGGTTTAGTTGTACAATTATGTTAGTATTACTTTAAAAAAATAGTCATAATACTATAATTGCAATGAGATCATCATGTTGGCTGGCAGTGTTCAAGTATGTGCTAGAGGCTTCAAACCCCATGGTTGGTAACCTTCTCCAAATAAGTAAATTGTTATTTGTAACTACAATAATGTTTCATGGCGGATATAAGAGACCATCATATATTTTAGTTGCAATTATTTTTTTTTCAATAAATGAAAGCTCTCAAGAGCTATTTGTCTTGATTGTAAAAGTTTATCATCGAAAAAATTAATGTTATGAATGTTTAACTAAGTTTCTTGAAGAGTTGGGATTCTGGGTGCCTTTTTAAATTTGTGAATCTCTTTATTAGCCCACAACGTCACTACTTTATATTACTATCCTTAAAAAAAATGATCACCATTGTAATTCTAGTTTTATTTTAAATTGAATAATTTTCAAAATTCAGTACTATTTGTTAGACTTAGACTATCATATTTATCATTACTATTATTATTTGAGATGATTTTTTTTTTAATTTACACATTTTTTACTTTTCTTGCAGGTTCTTAGCAGAGTCATTTGTGAGGAGAGATGAAGTGAGTTATTTGTTCTTTATTGTTATTTTGACTTAGCTCAATCTTGTGTCTATATTAAGTAAATATATATTCATTTATATAGTTCAAGTTTGGAATTTAATAATGGAATTTATCTTGAGCAAATGTATCGTAATATAATTCTTTTCGCATTTTGGTATCACATCATATTATCAAGTAGGGCATGTTTGGCAATATAAATAATGGGGATTTGTATAGATAGCACTCAAAGCTTTCCATTTTATATATTTAATATGCAAACTTTATGTTTTCCTCTCATAATACTTAAAAATTATAAATATCACTTCCCCTAAACTCGATTTAGATATCTCGCTTGCCATTAGTCTCATCGTTGTCACCACCTTTATGCATCACATTCTTCTCGCATTTGTGGATCGCTGCTGGTCAATGAAGCATAAGGAATTCATGACGAAACTTGCTAGGGAAAAGACATCAATGACACAAGCATAGGAAGTCAATGGGTAAATAGCTACCAAAAAGGAAGTCGTGATTGATCATGCTTAACATAGTTAAGAAGGTGGTAGATTATATAAATATTACATTTTAGGTTTACATATGTAAATGAGAAAATTTTGAGTGCTATGTATGTAAATCATTCTATAAATATGTTTTAGGTTATATCTAACTAATAGTGTAATTACTAGTTCTCAGTACATAAAAGTGTTTGTAAACTTAATCCCATTTTATAAAGTTAAAGATATTCATATGGATGCATAGGAATTTGGAATTTTCTAACTCTATTTGTTTTTGGTGAGATTGTATATGGCTAGATGCAAATAAATGCATTGGACTATTTATCTGCTTTTCATTTGATGTATTGATTCATTGAGATGTACGATTAGTTAAACTTGTTATTTGTTATTGAATTGAACTAATTATAAAAGGGTGCTTACATTATTGAGTTTAAAACAAATAGCATGATCATTTTGGATTATTTCTAAATTTTCTGGTTCGTTATAGCTCAAGAAAAACTTGAAAAGATGTCTTACATGCTTACTGGATTCCCTTTTTTATTGTGGGCTTAAAATTGCGTTCGACAAATTTTCAAAAGATATTATATTACAAATAAGTTACTATATAGAGATTTCGTCCTCAGTTTGCGATGCGTTTTGATCTGGTTCCAAGTTTCTCATAAGGCGTAAAACTTATGATTAATTATTCCTTTTGATTACAAGAGCGAATTTTCAATTAAGGCTAATCGATAGATGATAAAGGTATTGAAAACTAGTAATAATAGCAGTGATTTGTTTTAGAATTGAGAGAAATTTATTGCCTTTAGCTTAAAAGAGAGAGGCAGGGGATTTGATGATTAAGCTAATCAAATCTCATAGTTTTGTTGTCCCAGGTTGTTGTAATCTCTAGTTCACTTAGTCAACAAAGATAGTCTACATAACCTGATCGAAGGATCCTTATCAATAGTCATTATTTGTCTTTAAGAGGACCTTGTAGATTTGTGGTGAATGTTAGTATATGGGGATAATTTTAAGTAGATATTGGATGATAGTGGGTTTTATTTTCTATCAAGTGCACCTTATAACTCACAACTTAAGGGGGTTAGATCCATTTTGAACATTCGGGTTGTAGTCGTGATTATAACATAGTGTTGCAATTTTGCGGCAAAACTATCCGGTCAAAGGGTGGTGATCATAATTGTTATTTAGTAGTGCTATTGATAATAAGAACAACCAATTAGAGGACAAATGATACATTTTTTATTTGTGAGATATTATTTGAAAATGAATATAATAATATATATTTGATGTGACATCACCTCTTTGTGAGTTGACATGATTCTCAATTTTATCACTCTCGAAAAACGATTGTTGAGCTCGGATGAATTTTGTTTTATGTTTTGCAATAATAGTTTCACTTGAATTTATTTTTATATTTGAGAAGTTTTTAATTAAATTTCATATTTTTATAGAAATTTGGTTCGCGTAACATATTACCTTGGGATTTTGGGACATTTTGATGATATAGTCCTCTTCAATTGAGATCGACATTCAACATTGCCATCTTTAGGGTATTTAGCATGATTGCATTTTGCTACTTTGAACATTGTTGGCCATGCTTGCTTGCTAGCAAAGAATAAGCCCTATAATTTGCATTTAGAAGTGATTTTTTATGTTAAAAGCTTTGAAGGCCTTATACAAATGTAAAACAAAATTCTTTGAACGACTTTGCAATTGAACATATTATTCTCAATCTATGATGCATGAGTTTATTATATTAGACCGTGGTAGGAGAATTTCAATTCATTATTTGGAGCAAGTCTTATTTACTCAATTTTTTTATGATTGGAAAATTGCACTTTTGACTTTGCCTTAAAGGTAAGGTAGCCAGCTCGAGAACATGCATATACATTGATCAACTTGATTTTAAACGATTGGGTTTGCATAGTTTTACTTATTTTTACAAATATCTATATATAATTACACTTATAGATTATATACTTGATACATCACCACAAATCACCTTGATCGGGCACAAATCTCGTGGAAAAATTCAACCGTAAACATCTAAAATTAAGTTTTGGATCATATGAACTTAATTTTAGTAAATTGATAGTCGAAATGAACTTCTTGACTAGACAAATCAAACGACATCAAAATCGGTCCAATCTGAGCCTAAAGGGCCCGAATTAAGAGCTTGAAGCATATTTGGAAGCTTCAAGACATTAATTATAAGACCGAACAATCTCCGAATTTGGCATGTTTATAGTTGAATCGAGTAGCTCGACAAGACGAATCTAACGAGCCCAAGATTGCTTAATTTCGACATCATTAAAATACTTAAATGCTTAAAAATAATCTATTGATTAGGGAAATTAATATGGATCATCTGATGGAGTGCTCTGGATTTTCTCTATATTTATCTCATATTTACGGGGCATGTTACTCCCAAAAATCTATAAATAAGAGATATAAGGCCTAAAGAATCTCGAAGCTCCACCCAAGCACTACCACTAATGAGCCCTCATAGGCTGACTGTCGCCGTTGGACCTTCGTCGACTAACCATCATCGCCGGACCTTCTTCAACCAACCTGCTGATTGAATAAAATCTTCTAATTTGAAGGCTAAGGATAAGATCACAAACAAAGACCATGCATCAAAATTTGAGCCATTCATCATGCATAACTCTTTATGCAAGCCTATGAATGCCCCATAATCTCTTTAAAATTATTGGAGATTAATTAGGAAGCTTAACTTAAGGTCCCTTGATGGGTAGGTGGGTCATACTAGCAATTAAACAAAAATATTCAAAAGTTATATGATTTTAGGGTCACTCTACTTGTATTATTTGGGTAATCTAAATTTTTATATTTTTCAGAAGCTTTAAATTTTGTTTTATTCCTCTTATTTTCTTTTCCTTTGTATTATGATAAGTTATCAATCAATGTAGTAGTTATTTTTTGCTCTTAAGTTTTTTATTCATTGAATAAAATTTACTTTTTGCTTGTGCAAACCTCATTGACTAAAAATATCATCTGATAAAAATATCATATGATAAGACTTGGTGAAATTTGGTGGCTGATACCTAGAGCTTTAGTAAGCTCTTGATTATCTTTTCCTATCCTTGCTCCTACTTCCCAACATTTCTCATCCACTCTATATAATTTAAATTCAAGCTTCTCTCAATCTTGAAACATGTTCAATCCCTTCAAAACACTCTCAAATATTCTCTCACATCCCTCATAGCCTCTCAATGCTGCAACTCCTCAATAACCCTTAGATACCCAACCGAAAAAGCCCAATATAGAGAGTCAATTTCTTGCTGCGAGTAAACGGGTTAAAATTAATACAGCTCCTTAACCATAGTTCTAAAATTCATAAAACACCAACATTAGTTCTCCAAACCTTTGAACTGGAATTCCTCACCTTTTTCTTCCAGGAAAAAAATATCCCTTGATGGCCTAGAAGTTTCAACACTAATTATGTCGAAACTCTAAAACTCTTTTACTATCACCCATTAACCTTTTCACAACCAGCTCAAGAGAACACCAATAAGGTTGGTGCCTTTACTATACAAATCTTATAGACCCTACATTAGAGGCAAATAGATTAAGAGATTAGAGATTAAAAAAGAGATGAGAAATATATAGTAAGAGAAAGAGGGAGAAGGAGAGAGAAAGAGATTAAGCAGATTGAGAGAGATAGGAGAAAGAGAGGAGGGAAAACGGAGGGGGAGAGAGAATGGAAGGTTTAGTTAGAGAGAATGAAAAAGAGATAGTAAGAAAGATGGGTGAGGATTTGGCCAAGTTTCGTGGAGCCTGTGAGTAGTCATAATTGACTGGGATGAAGAAGCTTGGAGATGAGTGTTGAGCTCTCCAGAAGCCCTAAATATTCTTTTCACCACCACTCACATAACTTTTATACCACCATAATGGAACACCAATAAAATTTTATTTTTAAATTGATACATACATATTTTAGTTAGATAATAATAATAATTGTAATAATCACAATTTTAATTCTAAATTTAATTTAATTTGTTATACCAAAAAAATATTTTATTTTAAAAAAAATATATTTTATTTTCATAAGTCTTCGTCGCTAAAGCACATCAAATTTCATGTCATAGATCCGCCTCATCTCACTCACGCAAGAAAATTTCATGTTTTGCTTTTGTACGATGATTTGGTAACATGAGGGTTCTTTCTTTGTATTCTAACATTTCAGATGCATAGTTGTTCTCTTTTGTGAATCAAGCAATAATTGGGTGACTTCCATAGTTATTGATACATCTCAAGCTAGACATGCGTGACATTGACTTTGTTAATTGTCTTTTTTTATTGACTCAATTGCAAGGTTCCTTCCTTGTAACCTTGATGCTTCTGACGCATTGGTAGATTTCTTTTTCATGGAATGGTTAACATTTGATTATTTTTATGTGAGTATTGCATTTCAAATTGGATTGTGCGACATTGCATCCGTCATCTATTGTTTTCATTGTATCCCCTGAATCGAGTTATGAAAGAAGT